CACGTTACCACTAAGCCACCCTGACCCGAATGTCAGTCGGTGACAGTGCAGAAGTGAATTTCAAGAAAGGTTTAGGCTCATTTTATTCCATGTATATAGGGGGATTGTAAATGAGACAATCTTGTACGTAATTACGTCACTTATATTGACAAAAAGAGGGTTTCGAAAGTATCAATAAAGCTTGAATAAGAGTCCTAATCACCCAGCTCACATGAGGAGATAAGGGACAGATAGACAAATTTCCCTACAGTTTCACATTCAAAGTGGACTGCAGTTTCGTGCTCATTTGGCTAAGATGATCACAATTGAAAAATGAAATCTACTCATAAGATCGTGAGAAAATTCAGCAATCAGCCCCTTAATTCCTCATGCGACCTAGGGTGACTGAAATTCTTATTCACGCCTTATTCATACCTTCGAAACGTGGTCAATTATAATGACAAGACACAAGTTTGCCTCATCGACATTTCGACTTTGGGTGAACTAAAGCGACTGGATCTCTAAGGCAATTAGGGTTTTATGCAACCTATTTTGTCTAAGGTGATGAAAGAGTAGTAGTTGAATTTTCTCACAATAAGACGGTTCAATTGAATTCCCCATAGCCTTTCTTCGCAAAAGTTATTCTCATCCAGGCTGTACTGGACTACAGTTTCTACCTCACCTGTACTAGTCTCTTCATCCTCTTCAGCGGGACTAGAATCGTGATAATACAGCTTCTTCCCTCAGCATACTGACCACTACGCCAGACTGCCAAGAATGCCCTTGGCTCAAAGGTTAGGTGTGAATTTCAAATAATGTCAGTCATTTTTCCATATAACATTCAGTGGTGGGATTGTCGATGAGACAAATTCATATTTGCTATAGCAATTTACTGCATTACTTATTTTTCGTTTGCCATTCGGTTTGCAAGACTAGTACATCGCGAAAAACTAGTTAAAAACGTAAAATAAGTATATATGAGATGTGTTCATCCTATTTCGCTGGATTTTCCCACAATAAAATATTTCCATCTATTCTCATCGGGAGTGGACTGCCGTTTCGATCTCGCCTAGGCCTTATCAACACCTCCAGCTGGACTCGAACCATGACACTGCAACGCGAAATTTCAACACATTAACCAATACTCCCCATTGCCACGAGTGTCCTTGGGTCACAGGAAGGATTTCATATGTCTAATTTATTGGTAGTCTCGAGACCCTACCTACAAACGAAAAATCTGTAATATTATCGATTGTCATAGCAAATATAAATTAGTTTCATCGTAAATCCCACCACAGAATGCGATGTGGGAAAATGCTTGGCATTCCTTGAAATTCACAAAGGCCCTTAGATCAACGGTCAATCTTGGCAGAGCGGCGTAGTTGGCAATGTGTCACTGTCATGGTTCGAGTCCCGCTGAGAGTGCTGATTGGGCCTAGACGGAGTCGAAGCTGCCGTCGACTCGGGAGGAGAATAGATTTTGGGAAGCAAGGCTGTATGAACTTCAATAGAAACGTAATGTTTACTCAACTGATTATGGGAAAATTTAACTACAATTCGTCCTTTATCACTTTACTCTAGACAGGCTGAATGCATCTCGTAAGTAAATAAATAAATAAATAAATAATATGATCGACTGGAAGCCTCGAAAACTTAGTTGTCAACAGAGACCCTTAGTTAAGGCTTGTCTACTGGCTTACCTGGCCAGTGAGGTTTGTCCAGACTAGTGGGCAGCTGTGGCATTTGCTGGCCATCGGTGGAGGTGGGCAACGGGATGGCCGACAGGTAGGCCGGGTTGTAGTTCCCCGTGGTCCAAGGGAACAAGCCCTTTTTCCCTCGGCCGAGGATCTGCACGAGACTGGCCGTGGACAAATGAGAAGCCGGGCTTGTGTCTTTGGGATTAAGCGGCTGATCAGGAGGTTGCTGTTGGTGGTGATGCTGGTGATGCTGGTGGTGGGGGTGGTGGGGGTGGTGGGGCTGCTGCTGTTGCTGTTGCTGTTGCTGTTGTCGCAACAGCTGCTCCAGCTGATGCTGGAGATGAAACGGCGGCTTTTGCGTCTTCGACGCCAGGAGGTTCAGCTGGAAGTCCTTGAAGAGATGATGCATTTGATCAGGATGTAGACCCGTCTGTTGCTGTGGCAATTTTCGGCGCTGTTGTTGCTGCCCTCGCAGCTGCTCCGGCTGGGTTGGAGGATGATGTTGGAGCTGAAGATGCGGCTGATTTTGTGCCTGTACTTCCAGAGCGAGCTGTAAAGGCAGAAGAGGTTGCTGAAATTGGATCACTTGATGTCGACTGGCCGCCGTCTCCATCGCATGTGATACATTCGGTGCGTTGGAGGTGGCCAACAGGAGTCCTGACGAATGGCTGGATTGCGGTAGCATGCCCCAGTGGAGCATCGAGCCCAGCATCGGTTGCTGCGGCTCGTCGTTGGGCAAAAGCCCGTGGGCCGGCTGGATTGGGGCTGGCGTGTCCGAGGCTGGGGCCGAGGAGGGCGAGTGGGGATGCGAGGCGTGAGGAAGAGAAGAAGGCGAAAACGGAGAAGGACTAGGAAGAAGAGAA